ATTAAAAAAAAAAAAAAAAAGTGGTAAAAGATTCAAAAAGTTTGCCTTTTGCCGTATTAAAATAATGCTAAATTTTGGTCACTGTCTCAAACTGGAGACCTGGTAATAAAGGGCTGGTGCGACAATGGATTTACAAGACATGTTTAAACTATATCACTTGAACCACCACAACCGGAGTCCGAGGTTTGTCTCTTGAACCACCACACTGTGGTGGCAACCCAATCAGAATATGTGAAGTCAATAAAGACTGCGGCCAGAAGCTCCTTTCATCTGACTCTTTTACAGCTCATCTACAAAACGGTAAACTACCATTAATGCACGCTTGTCCCATATCTTTTTTCAATAATAAGGAATGCGATGTCTTTGAAGTTGAGGTTGTTGATAGAATATAGCGAATGCAGTGCTGCTTGCTTGAAAATATTCTTTTAAGGATAATCGTTTTATTACTTTAAGAAAACGATATAAAGTTATACACTGTAAAATGAATGGGTATTTACCGTTAAATACGTAGTTGTCCATTAATATACGGGAGAATTGCAGTCAAAGTACAAAACCTTTCATTTGTGTCGTAGGTACCAAACATTTGAAAAATTCTCTGTTCAAGTCCAAATTGACGGTTTCCATGAATTTGACTCGAAAAACCATCCGTTGACTCCAAAAATTAAAAATTTAATAATTTTGATCAAATAAGCCAGGGGTAAAATGATAATTTTAATAAAAAAATAAATTAAAGAAAAAAGGAAATCTGGTTCCAGCACTAAACATGCGGTTGTGGTATGCTCCCGTTTGGAATTTTCCAATTGGATGGTACTGAAAGGAAATTGCTGTGAAGTAATAATTCTTAATTGGAGGGAAGAGAAGCGGGTAGAAGGTTTAGGTGGGGATGCGGAGAGAGAAGAGGGAGTTTAAGAGAGGTGGGGATGAGGTGGACGGAGGTGGCCCAAACAACGATGGCTTGATCGACGACGGCTCGACGACAGTTTCGCTACCGACGACAAGTGGCAGGATGGGTTTTCTCCATTTTTGGGTAGGTGGGGGGTGGGAAGTAATAGATACAGAGGCTTTTTTTCCTCCTTTTTTATTTAATTTATGTATTATTTAATATTAAAATTATAAAGTTACCATTTTACCCTTATCTTTTTTGGTCAAAATTATTAATTTTTTTATTTGGGGCCTGGGTTCAATTGACAGTTTTTGGAGTCTAACTGACAGAAACCGTCAATTTGAACTTGAACTGCGAATTTTTTAAAGATTTGACACCTACGGTGGTACAAATGAAATATTTGGATCAAATTTGTTATTAGATGAAAGATTTGATATTTTGACTGCAACATTATGACAATATCGTTTTCAAAAATGAGTGTGGATCCATTCTAATAAAGTCCCCTCAATAATAAAAGTGAATTCATGTGTACCAAAAAAATAAGTGAACATTCATTTGGGCAAAAAAATTAAATTAAATTAAAGAAACAAAAAAATAAAAAAAAAAAAGAGAAGAAAGCCCATGTTTGAGCTCCATTATATTTAATAATTATATTTTTTAGGATAGAAGTATTTAGTAATAGTGATTTTTTAAAAAACATGTGACTTTATGGAGTGATTGAAATGAAAAAAAAAAAAAAGAAAAATGTATTTTTAAAATTAATAGAGGGTGAAGAAAGAAATGAAATTAGCTAATATTGGAGGAAAGGACAAATATTTCAGCCCTTTTTTGTCCACGTTGACTACATTGGCACAAATTCTACTGTCAAATCTACACTTGTGAAGTCATTACTAATCATCAAATTACAGAAATTTAAAACTTTAATTATTCCACTAAAAAATGAATGGCTTTGTCATTGACAATGATATAAAAGAGAAAGCACTAAAAGTAGTAATCATTGTTCATTACGTTTCGATCACAGTAGGCACCACCACCAATCATATATATTCCTGAAGATTATCTACAGAGAGAGAGTGTGTGTGTGTGTGAGAGAGAGAGAGACTAATTAATTCGAGCAGATTACCTCAGAGAGAGAGAGAGAGAGAGAGTAATTAATTCGAGCTGATTACCTCAAGAAAGTTCATAAAGTATGATTCAATACCGTCTCTCCTCTGGCAGGGTAGCAGTGTAGTCCAGACAGAGACTGCAAGAAAGAAGAACTTTTTGCATATTTCCATCTCATTCTTCAGGAAAAAATTCCTTTTCGTCAAGTGAAAAAACAGAATCTTAATTCTCAGTTTTACAGAACCATACTTATATTTGGTAGATAGTGTAGAGAAGATGCGGAATATGGCGAGTTGTTCCTCACCGAAAGGCATCGCCGCCATTGTCGGCGTCGGCCCCAAACTCGGCCGTTCCATCGCCCGTAAATTCGCCCACGAAGGATACACCGTCGCCATCCTCGCCCGCGACTTAGGCCAGTACCCCTTCTCCACTCACACACCCACACCCACACGACAAGCAGAATTATTAGTCACTAAATATTGTGATTTTATGCACTACTTCGAATGCAGGTAGATTATCAAGATTTGCTGATGAGATAGCTAGAGAAGAAAAGTCACAAGTTTTTGCAATCCGAATCGATTGCTCGGATTCTCGAAGTATAAGGGAGGCGTTTGAGGGGGTCCTGTCGTTGGGTTTTGTTGAAGTCCTTGTTTACAATGCATATCAACCTGTTTCATGGCCGCCCACAAGTTTCACCGACATTAGAGTCGATCATTTCGAAAAATCCCTCGCCGTCTCCTCCGTTGGCGCCTTCCACTGCTCTCAACAGGTCCATTTACGTTTATTCCTAGGCTAGGATTTCCAATTCAAGAAAAGTTAGCAGTATATTCGTGCATGAAAATTTCAGGTACTTCCAGGAATGGTGGAGAGAGGAAGAGGGACGATTCTCTTCACAGGATGTTCAGCTTCTCTTAATGGCATCGCTGGTTACTCCCAATTATGTATGTTATTTCATTACAATACTATTTTTATAATTAATTTGTCTTAAACTCGATTAATACTATGATTATTTTTGATATAATAATAATAATAATAGGTTGTGGGAAGTTTGCGATGAGAGCCTTATCTCAATGCCTCGCGAGAGAGTACCAACCTATGGGAGTACATGTGGCTCACATCATCATCGACGGCATTGTCGGCTCACCTAGGTTTGTACGCTTTGTATTGATTCTTTTTGTCTTTGATTCAGCAATCTAAGGGCGTGTTTGGTAGAGATTAAAATTGAAAAATTAGTGGTTATTGTTGACTTTTATTAGACGAGTGGGACCCAACAACGGTCATATTTTCAATTAAAATTGGATTTTAATCCTGGCAAACATGCTCTAAAAGTTAATATTTATTAGAAACAATTCCAACATTTAGACTTTCATTGAAATTATTTGTTTATTTCATGAAACATTTGACGGGAGCAACTATCTAACAATCAAGTAGACAGAAAAGGTCCACTAGAAAGTGTCACAAACTGAAAAGGTTTAGAATTCACATAAAATTAAAGTCAATTAAAACGTAAACGCCGTTTAGATCGAGTTGGCGAAATGTGTGATATAGATGACTGCAGAGATTGACCAAGTTGTTATTGAAATTTGGTCAGGGCGGCCGTGAGTGCATCAAGTTGGATACCAAAATCATCGTCAGTTGGGGAACAACAACAAAGCGGAGGGGACGGGATGTTGGATCCTGATGCACTGGCTCAGACCTATTGGCAATTGCATATTCAAGACCAGTCGGCCTGGACCCAAGAAATCGACGTCCGTTTCTCCTCCGGCCCCAGACTTTTCTGAAAGCAAGAATTTCATTCTTCCAACCCCAATTATGTTTCTCTTTTTACTAGTCTTCCTCAGGTGGATGTATTGTGTTTGACTTTTGTAATTAGTGGATGCAATTGCATCTTGAATTTAAGTATTTGATAGTGCGATAATTATGTGTTTTTTTCAGCCGTAATAGTATTAGAGACAATTGAATAGTACGAAATATTCTAGCGTGTAAAGTTGGTATGATGATTTGCCTTGGAGAGGGAGAATCCAATAGAAAAAGGGCCCAAAAAGGGCACAGGTTTAAATGGACAGCAGGGGGATTCGTGTTCTAATTTGGTACACACAAAGTTAGGATTCAAGCAGGGTACAAACAAACATCTATTATTCACAGTACACTCATTTGCAGGACAGTGCATATGATAGGTTGTACTCTGAATCTTAAAAAGTTGATGAAGTCCTTGTCTGTCTGTGAAATTTCATTAAGAGCCATCATTGGACGGCTACGTTGACGTCGATGAATTTGTGAGAAATATTTCTGGACGCCTTGATGATCTTTTGGAATCTTGTCCAATTTTTTTTGGTGTACTTGAAAGTTTGAGGTATATGAGAGAATTACTTTGATGATTGTAGCATTTTCCCACAGTAAATTTCTTTTGTGATCTGTTATTTTTCTCTGATTTTGAAGTTTTCCACGTCGGTCTTCATATTTTTTTTCTCCATCTTTTTAATTTTTCTTTGTCCATGTGGGGAACTCAAGGAATTAGTTTCAATTACAAAGAAAAATATTCAGCATGCTAAAATCTTCTGGTTTGATATCAAAAACAAAACAAACTGAAATGTATCTGTAGGAAAAGAAAAAAAGAAATATAATTGATTAGAAGGTATATGCAGAACATGAGAAGATACAAACGTATTTCAGAAGAGGAGGTGTGAATGTTTACAGTAACCAGCTGAGAAATATTCTCAACTGCAATCAAAACAAAAATACTAACTACAGCTTTACACAGGGTACATAAACTCTTGGATGCCATTATTGAAAATACAGGAATCGTGACTCCAGTCCTCCAAAATCGATAAGAGTGGCTTGAAGTCTCTCACTCGGACTAATACCAGCCCAAAATATGAAGTTCGCCATATTTTGCCAGGAGGAAATCTTTAGAAAACGATTCTGATCTGAACTAGAAGGAATGTAAAATCAAGTCTAGACGCATACCCAAAAGTGTCATTGAACTTTCATGAGAGACCGGCTGGAAACACCATGCAACAACTTGATGAATCCAAGGAAGCTAAGTTTTCCATCAGTGTGTCTAATCCAGTCATGAAGAACAGCATGAACAGGAACAGAAGGGCCAAGGCCAAGTTCCTAAAACAATATTTGCAAATTAGCATAAAATCAGATTTATATTTCCCTGACCAAAACTTATCTGCTTGCTTCCAAGTTTTGTTCCACAGTTTTTAGGGAACAATAAAAAAAACTCCTAAAAGAAATGCCATTACCGAAGCCAATTCCTCAATCATTATAGTCCGGTTTCCATCCTTCTCAAAGAGTTCATAGGCACAACGCGCATGTTGCTCCCATCTGTCGAGAGCTTCAAGTTGGTACACACTTAATGTAGCAGCACAGAATTCCTCGAAATCCATCCTTCTGTACTGAAGTACATTGAGCTGTCAAGAATGAGCAGAAAATCATTTAGCATTTGAATATGCAATTCTATCAAATCTGAAATAATTACAAAGCAAGGCAGTCAGAAGCTCACTGAAGAGATAAAATCATATATGCGGGATTCCTTCATGGCTTCAGTTGCATTTTTCTTAAAGGCCTGACCAAAGAACGGAAGTTGTGATTGCTTTATTAAGTAAAGATTAGCAACAGAAGATGACAATCTCAGAAAACCAACCTCTTTGATATTGTCTAAGCTTATGGTGCCATTTTTGCTTGGTTCCAGTAGAGCAAATTGCTCCTTCAGGTAGAATAGTTGATCTACGGTCAATGTTTTTGATAGAGACTGCACAAAATTGAGTATGAAAGAAAGAAGCACTTCAGCAGATAAAAACAAGTGAAGCAATGAAATGAACAAGCAACAAGGGGAGTAGTATTTGTCAAGGAGCAGTCAGGAACAAAACTTTTAGATTCAATACCAAAGTACGTCTCTTCATCTTCTCCCAGAGGGTTTTATGCTAAGGAAATTGGGTGCAAAAAATGGGTTAAAAGGAAATTATCTCCAACCTATCTTGCATCCTTTATGGAAGAAAAGTTAATTTCTCTCCCTTGTTTGGTATGATGAATCAAACATTGTGTATAAAATGTTTAATTTTTTTATTTTTCAATTTAGTGTGTGGTTTACATTTAAAGATTACCATCTCTGATCTACCAATTCAAAGCAAAGTATGAGAAATGCACTTTCTGCCCTACTTTTCTCTTCTTCGTCTTTCCTGTCTATGGGAAATAAATATATTTCCTAATTATTGTCTTCCTTTCCTTCACTCAATTTACCAACACACAACCCACAGTGCACCCTGGACTATACTCTTATAAAGCAGCCTCATAAAATGAGCATAAAGTTCAATATCAAGTGCAGTGAAAAAAAATTCTGCCATCACTTAACTAGCACCAATTTCAAATAGAAAGTTAAGTTCTATTATCGGGGAGATCTCAGACAAAATTCTTTAGAAATGACGAAAAAGTAAACAGACAAATGAATGCAGCAGTACATTTCACTATAATATCATGTACACACCCGTAATGCAGCTTTCCGGAGGGGAGACGATCGCATATAAGCTTTCATGAGCTTGAATATTAATATATCCAAAGGCACTTTAACATCATTACTATTTTTGATCCATGGATGACCTGAAACAGAAAACTCTAAGTGGCTTCACAGAATTTTACAAAAAATCTGCACCTTATATCTGTTCTAGAAGACACTCACACATAGCTTGAGCTGCAGTCATTCTTTTCCTTGGATCCTTGCTTAGTAGACGTTTGACAAAATCTTTCGCATCAGAAGACAACATTGGCCAAGGTTGTTCTTCATAAGTTGGTTCAGCTTTTACAACAGAGCGAAATATTCCAGACTCTGTCCGAGCCCAAAATGGGCGGCTTCCGCACAATAGTATATATGCTATAACACCTATACTCCAAACATCAGCCTCAGTGTTGTATGCTCTGTGCAGAACTTCAGGTGCTACATAATATGCACTGCCAACAATGTCATTAAGCCATTCGTCTGCAAAAAATTCAGCACATTAACATCATTCAACTCATTGTAATAGCAACCTTGGACAAAGATAAATTAGCAAAAGCTAATGAATTGAAGAAGAACAAACCTGGCTTCACAAAATCTGATAATCCAAAATCTATGGCCTTCAGTTGTGAGTTTTCTTCTTTCGATGTAAACAAGAAATTCTGATCAGGCAAGAAAGCTACAGTTAGACAAGAATATGCATAAAACAATCATTTTAAATTCAACTAGAGAAAATAAAAAATACAAATATTACACTGGACAGATGATCCAGCAAATAAGATAAAGCTACAGAAAACACAATCATATTGTTCTTAATGGCTGATAACAAAAGAAAAGGACAAAAGATTTTACATCAAGTCCAGCACAAACCTAATAGACCTTTAGACCCAGGAACTATGCTGATAAGTACTAGCTCATACCTCTGGTTTAAGATCCCGGTGTACCACTCCCTGGAGATGGCAGAATGCAACAACATTTAATATTTGTGTCACCACAGTCTTCGCGTCATCTTCAGTGTATTTTCCACCCCTGCAACAAAGGAGACAACTTTGATTTGTTAGTGACTGCTGGAATATGCAGATTAGTGTTTCACTTATAGTACCCCAAGCATTCAAAAATACAGATGTAGAAATACCTTGATAGAATTCTATCGAGAAGCTCCCCTCCTTCACATAATCTGAGAGAGAAAGTTCAATATTTATAAATAAGGAAGTAGAATAATCAAATTAAGCTTATGACTGGGTAACTTTTGAAAGAGAAAGTTTCAAGATTGTTATTGAACAGAAATTAAACGAATACTATGCAAATTTTCCATTAATTAAACAAATTGTATATCATACTAATACAGAAATTAAAATCAAACGAGCATATCTTACTCCATCACTATGTAGACATTGTCATGGTCTTCAAATGCATCATAAAAGTGAATAAGATTGCTATGTCCTGTCAAAGCTCTCAATATTTTCACCTCCTTTCTTACATCTTCAATGGCTATAGCAGTGGTCATCTGGAAAGGAAAGAATAATCACATTTCGAGAAACAGATTATAAATACAACTTATGAGCAAATGATTTTCTACAAGGATCCTGACTCTTAGAGTTGCATCCCTGACATATATTTTACACGCTATTAATTAATAAATAATAAATTTCTGACTCGCCTTCAGTATTCTGAAGTAGTTGAAAATAACATTACTGGCATCATCTTATGATAGTTCTCCTACATAAATCAATGTGCATATTGATGCGATTCCACACAATGCAATTAGTAACAAAGAATCAAATGATTCTATTAATTAGAACACATCAAAATGGTCATGTGTACTACTAGCAACTACTCATGCAGCATGCCCTGATTCATTATCATAAATTTATTGGCATCTCTGTGAAATATATTGACCAATTCAGGGTAAACCAACCCCTCAGCCGACTGTCACTCTTCAGGATTACACGAGATCCTCTCTGTGCCAAGCTATCAATTAGCCATCCCAGCCTAAAGCAGAGCAAATATGCTGGTTCCCATACCATTGATTCAATTGGTTTTTTGTACACGTGTTAATACACCAGACTTGGGATCCACTAGTTCATGTGATTTAAATTAGAAACAGAAAAGAAAAGGTGAACGACGTGCTATATTGACACAGATAAGCTTAAGTAATTCTAGGTACCATTCACGAAATTTCAAGCCTTGTTTTGTCTTGAAACAAATGGAGGAAATTATATCAATTTTTTTTGAAAAAAAATGTTAAGATGCAATGCTATATAGATGCGTGTGTCAAGCCTTCAAACCTCCCCAAAAGCCATATCAACAGTCTTCTGCAAGCCAATAGCAGCAACCAAAACCTGCTTCCCTTCCCAGAAACCTATATTTCCCCACCTTCGAAATCACACTCTAGACTGCTTCACCAAAAAACCTAAATAGATTCACTTCCACATTCATTTCAAACCCATAATGCCGTTTTCAATCTATTAAATAATCCACTTTAATTAAAAAAACCATTCTTGCAGCTAAACGGAATTATGAAATTCAATTTAGAAAAAAGCTAAATCCATGAAAAATCAAATTTAATTGTTCACTCATAAATTTAAACCTATTGTGCTCCGAATGCAGAATTCAATCTCACTGCATATCAGATCACCATAACCTGAGCTCTAAAACCGCAAATCCAAAGTAGATCAGAAGTAGAATCATCACTGAACTCAGCAACACAAAAATTGTCAGTGAAAATATTAAAACAAGAAAATAATATTTCGAACCTTTGCTTTTGGAATGACCTTTATAGCAACCTCCTGTCCTTTAAGCTCTCCCTTCTTGAACTTTGCTCTACAAGTATACCCAAAATGCCCTCTCCCCACCTCCTCTCCCATCTCGTACTTATTGTTTAAATTCTTTGAGAACCCAAAATTCTTATCCAGTCCCGCCCCTGCCACCTCTTTCCCCTCCGGTATCGCTGCCTCATTTGGCTTCACCGATCCATGCCGCCTTGCGAGCACTGCCCGAATATGCTTCGCTGGAGAGGGAGGCGGGAACGGCTTCTTGAAAAATCTCCTCGGCGTGCCACTAGCTGGAGATCTAGCCGGAGACTTCTTCGAGAAAAAATAATGCGCCGGACTGGGGCTGTAAAATGGAAAAAATGGAGATTTCTTACCTACCTCTGAATCCCCCTTCTCCTCAAAATTCCCAGAAATAGTATTATCCTTATCCTGTACATTAGGCGTGGACTTGATTTCATCTGATGAGTGGAAATTGGATTCTGGGGTGGATTTGGGTTTGGAAGTGCAAACTCCCATTTGCTTTCTTTTCTAAAAAACTCCTAAATTTTATTCTTCTGAATACTTCTCACCAAGAACACACAATTTTCTTGAATGTAAACCCTAAATTTGAAAGCTGTGAATTAATTTTTTGTATAAATATTATGTTTTCGGGTTGAAGATTACACTTTGAAATTTGGTTGTGGACTGAACTGGTATTGGAGAGAGGGAAAGAAGGCGAGGGAGCATCCGTTGCAAAGGTGATAAAAATGGCGTGATGATAGGCGCTTTTTGTCCCAAAATTATTATTTGTAGTAAAGGGAAATTTTTGAAAATGGCCTTGTAAATTGTCCTATTTTAAACTATCAAATTAAAGTAGTTCACCTACATTTTTTATTTATTTATTCAAAAAGTCTTCTTGTTGAATTTAGTTTTATTGAAAAATAGTCCTCAAATTATTTCATTCATATTCTTGCATTCTTACAACTAATATCTCCTCAACTTCTTTCTCGTCTTCTGTCGATGTCAAATAGATAAAAATTAGATTAACGGGAAAAAAATCGAGGGTAAAGCTCCTTTCGTGGTCAAATATTTTTGGATTTAGTCTTTTTGCGTTGTTCGACAAGGATATTATGATATATATCAACTATACACTCTTCTCTCGTTTCGTTAATGCCGCAAAGGGAAATGGAGGGACAAGGGGAATGAAAATGAGGATTAATGAATCGCTTTAACATGCTCGGGGAAAGAAAGAGTTGTTTTTGAAATAAAAATGGAAGAAATGACATTGCACATAGAATTAATAAAAGAGGTCATTTAACATTTTATCTCTCTCTATTTAGTCCTCAAGAAGTTTTTATTCGAAATAAAATAAAGTGATAAATATAAGAAATAATTAAAAATAAAAGTACGATAAGGTGGTCCAGGCTGTACGATTGAGTCCACGTGGCAAGAAGATTGGGTTGATTTGAATCTTTTTATTTAATAGCTTACTGATGGTAAAGATTTTTATATTGAGATCTAAGCAAAATATAATTTTCTTTTATTGGTTTTGATTGAAAATAATATTAGATTAATTGATGAAATCTAATTTATTTTGTATTTTACTGACACTAACTTCAAAAAATATAATTTTTTTGAATTCAAATCTCCAAGTGCTTACTTTAGTTATGTACTAAAGAGGGGTGGGGTAAATCTTAAAATTGAGGTTGATTTTGTCTAATATATTTGGCAAAAACAAAAGGGAAAGAAGAATAGACAATTCCCTTGTATTGGTCTGTCTTGGAAGCAATAATTTGGTGCATTTTCTCATCCTAGTTTGTAGGCACTTCTTGGAAGCAACATTTGCATAGATTTTCCTTTTGTGACCTTGCTTTCCCATTGGTCTACATGCTAAGGGAGCAGGTGGGGTGGGATGGGGTGGGGTGGGAGGGATTTATAAATTTGCGAGATTGTATATATTCAAATAGGTTGTATAGGACAATCAGAAAAGATCGATCAAAATAACTATAAGTTTGAATAGTTCAACCCATTTTTACATTACTAATCTCGTATCACACTTCATTGATATTTTAATTGTTGTTCTTTCCTAATCACAGAATAAGTATAATTGAATAATTTCCATCTTGAAAGTTATGTCATATTCTGTTGTTGACAATCAAGTAAATCACCATTAAAATTATTAAATACAAATTTTTTTGTATTATTTTATGTAGAATTATTGAATTAGCATGATGGAACAATCAAATTTTGTCCCTCGACCTAACAAGAACACTAATCAATCGAATTTGATCTTCAATATAACATAAAAGGGCAGCACCCAGTCTACTTCTATACTAGTTTTTAACTCAAGAACGTGATTCTCCTTAAACTGACACTATTTTGTTCAAAGTTGGAAGAAGTTTCTACTGATTGACCATAAAACTTGAGAGAAAAATAGTCTCCATGCTGGTTCATGCATTTCTTGGGGGTAGACGCTATCGAATCGCGCATCGAATTTCTATTTTGTAATTGTAAAAGTTGAAACGTCAAGTCGGTGTGGTCGGTTCCAAAATGGATGTCTAGTGTTGTGAGTCTCGTGTTACATACTTTTATTTTAATTCCACATCAAACTTGCATTTTAAGAAAAATGTCGACCTTACAATTTAGTCAAAATAAATTAATGTATAGAGAGTAGGATGAGAAAAAAACTTCATATTTCGATGACTTTCAAAGAGAAAAAGACCTCGAAATTTGAAAATTAGTAACAAACATCAAACATGTTACACGAGTAACCTAAAAGCAAATTCTGCAACTCATAAATAAAGGGATTTGAATTGGAACATTAATTTTCTGCTGAGTCACAACCTAACCAATTTCTTCCTTTTCGTAGAACCTTATCTATTGTGAATGTGGTCTAGTATGCCGCATGCGTACAATTGAACGAATTAAGTCATTTTATAAACATGAAAGATTAGGATCCGTTTGATTGCAAATGTGGAAAATTAATAGAAAGAAAATATTTTACAGGGAATTTAATTATCTAGAAATTGTTGTAGTGAGAATTGTAATTAATTGAGTTTGATTAGTATAATTTTTCATCTGAAAAATGTTGAAAGTTTAATATCCGTTTGACTTCATTTTTTATGGAAATTATCCATTAAAGTGATAATTTTTTTACCATTGGGTCTAAAATTTGTTCCAATTACCAAAAAAAAAAATTATCATACCGAATATCATTCGTTTGACTTTATTTTGTATGAAAATTGTCAATAAAAGTGAAATTTTTTTTTTACCATTGTGTTTAAAATTTTTTCCAAC